AAAAAACCTAACGTTAATTCGTTTCAACGTCTATTTATTGGTGCTACGAATGTGCTACCATTGTTTTCGCATCTGTGTATTGTCTCAATTTTTCAAAATAAAATGTTGATTTTATTACACCTACCCTCTTATTCTCTGTCGCGTAGAATTTTTCCGGATGCGCATTCCTGAGAGGAATAATAATATTATGATGCACTCGACATTGCATTTGTATTATATTAAAGCATGTTATAGTCTGTTATACGTAACACAGGGTGACCATGTACATGTAGTCACGAATTTAATGTTTCTATCTACTTTATTTATAATGTGTCTATAATTTATCATTTGAACAAAACTTTCGACTATATTTCAATGAATAAAACATTTTTTATATATTTTCTCGTCACCATAAGCAACTCTTGTTAAAATCCAAACAAAATAAAATCGTTCGGAGATTTTGAAAAGCGTTATAACAATTTACAACAAAAGTAAAATATATTTATAACCTTTTCATGTTCTAATACGCACAGACATTATACATAAAAAAAAATTAATTGTGGCGTTCGTTTGTTATTACATAATTTTCTTTTTATGCTAAGTAAAAGATCTGAGACGAAGGTTGTAATGCGTATTGTTTGGTAAATTACCTGTTAACAATCTATTGAAAAATTAATTTCAATAATTATTATTGAATGTACTTGTCGCAGAAAATCAAAATAAAGCACTTATCTTGCTAATTACACAAATATTTTATTTTTTAACAGATACGGAATGCGCATTGGAAGTGCGTGGTAGAGCCATCTAGCATCAAAATGTGATACTAATTAGAAAATAGTTCAATCGTTTTGTCATAGATGACGACAGTGATTTTTGTTACAGTTAAATTTAAATCTGTTATAAGGTCTTTAGATTTATTGATAAAATTGATTAATAAAGCTGAACTAATGGAACTGTGGTTTAAATTTATTTATTACCAATCTATTAACTTCTTGTTTATAAAGAATCTAATTGTTTTACTAATTCTTTGCAATAGTTGACAATGAAGTCATTAGACGACACTACAGACTAATTTTCAAAAATATTCGTGTATAATTTGAATATTCAGATATTCATTACATGTTTTTCGTTAAATGTTACTTTAAAACTCATTAAATAGTTCAAACCTGCAAATCATAAATAGAGGTTTTCAGAAAAAATTTATTCACTAAAATCATGTGGCAATGATCTTAGTGATTAATCATAAAAATTGTAGAAACTTGGATAATAAATAAATTTACATTAACTCTAGGAAATATTATTTGCGTCTAGTTTAAGGATTCCACGAAAATGACCAGTTTCTTGCAAACACCCGAACACGTAACGTTTTAATTATAGTCTCGAAATATACAAGATTTTTAATTATAATAACTATTTTGAATACATGATATCTTTCTTTTATAATTGTTTACATCTTGATTTGTAAACTTTAATCTCACTAAACGTTAAATTATGCCTGATGTCATTTTTTTGTGATCAATTATGCGAGCTTGAGCGTTACGTGCAAATTATCCAGGTATTATGTGTGACATATATGAACAAACAAGGAAAAACAGACAACTGTAAGTTTTTAACATGTACACTGTTGTAATTGTAACACAGCTGGTTTGTATTACTTACAAATGAATATTGAATTGTAAAGATTAACAGAAAGTAATAAATAGTACAGTTAAAAATCTCCCAGTGACTTATGAAAGTTTTTGATTTATTTGGCTCTGTACAGATTTGCTACAAATTTTATTATTATTAATAATACCGTCGTACATTTGTAATCATCGGTAGGGCTATTGCGCTTGCGTCTTTGTCCGATATATTGTATTACGGTACACGAATCAAAATATCGCTGTGAACGTAATGGAGTCCAGTTTCACGCGAGCTAAGCGTTCCTCTTATTATTGTTAGTGGGAGAACAGAATTATCTATTCGTTATCGGTACCGGGCAAAAAGAGACCTACGTTTACTTTTGCACCAGTGAAAATTCAAAGACTTGCTGAGCGAGTACGAGGTTCGTAGTAGATACCGGAAACGGTTGGATCTCGATCGTTTGACCTCGTTTCCGGCGACGGCGGCGTCGCAAAAACGCTTTTACTCAATTAAGCTTTGGAATAACCGTTCTTGGTTAGGTACAACAGCTTCGCAATAATTTAGCGAGTGATAGCTCACTGCATATAAGCACGGGTCGCCGAGTAATATACATTCATACAACCTTGCATGATATTTAAGCTTTTTTTTCAATCGAAACGCTTACCCCGTTTCGTCACGTTTACAAAATCCTTGAATAAATACTGTGTCGTAGTTGGCGAAGTTAGCTAGAGATGTACTCTTCCTACCACTCGAATCCTTATAACTTAACGAATTCATACTTCGAATTATATTATACGTATATGTATAAACATAGTACAGACGAGACTGATCAATTATTCATAGTACATATTACAGTATTATTAATAGCGTTCTGACTATTATCTTAAAATCATTGTACATGTACATGTGTGTCGTTGCCGATAAATCGTACGCTTCGAACGCGGATTGATACCGCTATCCTTCGCCTTCGTACACTTCATTTTATACAAGATAAAACGCCGGCACGAGCACCGGTGAAAATGAATTATTAAATATAAATTACCATTCGCGCGGTTCGAATCAATCGAACATCTCGTATTTAAAAGAAATAATGCTAATCTGACCAGCCAACTAGAGAGCAGTTGGTGTAACCACACTTTGAAACGACCAAGATACTTCTCTTCTTTTGACGTACTAATATTCAGAAACGAGAAGGGAGAAATAGATTTCCTTAACATTCCTTGCCACTCGAACACATAAGATTATACAATAATCTTAACGATCAATACATACTCATACAGAGTATTTGAGAAACTTCTGCAAAACATTTATTAGCATCTCTATAAGTAGCGTTTAGATATTGTGGAACAATAAGGAGTAGACTTGTTAACTAGTTCCTTTGTTCGAGTCATAAATCTCGACGTGTTGATAGTTACGGGACTCTTTGAAGCAGGAAGATTTAGCGATAGAAATTGTTTTCTATCATTGGTACTCTGATAGAACATTGCAAATAGAATATTGTATAGGTATATTCAGATCCTTATCGTTATCGTAATAATGGCATAGAAGTGTTTGATCTGTACAATCGTGGATTTAATAATAAACCATTGGAGTGCATAGAAGAGCAATTTCCATTAGTGTTTGAATCAACACAAAATGAGGTAGACTCATAGAGCAAAAGTTAAGAAAGTAACCATCTAGTGTTATAATGACTGGTATTATTGTATGTATATAAGTTGGATATATATTACTTTGGTTTAAACAATTGTAAAGATTGGTTATAGATTCAGCAATACTATTACAATGTAAGAATAGACAATCTTGTTGAAAAGCTGGAAGTAATTATGAATGTTAATAGTAATATAGCTTACTTATTCATAAGGACCATTTAAATGAAAATGTTATAAAAGATGTAAAGAGACAATTTATACGTCTTTGGACCAAAGGAAGTTGCAAATTGCAATACTCATTCACTTATGAACCACAATATTTAAATGTACTCTTTTGAAAAATGCAAAGCATCATCATTACTATTATGCCTCTGTCTGTCAGTTTTGCACTAGTGCATTCACAAAAGTTTTAAAGAAGTCCCTCAAAATCTCCGTGAATGTAAGTGTATATATACAGGGTGGGTTGTACATAGGACTGACTCTTAAAAAAAAATTAGTCAAAACACATGAATTTTTTTACATAGTTAAAGGAAATTTTATTTGAAATTTCAACAAATGCTTTTTACTTCATTTTCTTCATTTCTTTTTATATTTGACAGAGTTCATAGTTACTAAAAATGTAACTGTTCTCTATCAACTTTATTACGTTAAAATTCACTTCCTGTTAAAATGAAAAGAACTTCAATATGATGAAAACTTACTATTGTCTATTGTTTGTAACAAGAAGGTTCATATTTTTAACAATATTCACAATAAAAGGAACAGCTGTAAATGATCAGATATCAAGATTCAATTCTGTGCTTTTGACTTATTTTCTTACGATATTATTTTCCCCATCTTGTACATACACATACATTTATATATAGAAAGTATATATATAGATATATCTTATCAATATTCACTGTACCTCACCAACATCGATGCAAAATAAATCACAATCATATCCTTTCTGCTTAAAATTGGCAACTGTAATCCTCACCATAACAGTAGTATAAGTCGTTATCATTAAGTTTCCTTCACTAAACGCTAAAAAATATGAGTCCCCTCACTCATTCAGTAATTACATAGTCCTTACTTATAGTAAACGGAGTATTTTGGTTTACGACACTTCGCTGGTAAGAACCTTGGTTCTTCACGCATTGTCCGTGACAATGGAAGATCACTTGGAAACCTAGAAAAGACCGGAATAAACACCTCTCGTTATACTCGTTGTATCTACCTAACCGAGTAAGCATATGAAAACTTTTAAGGTACAAGTATTATACAAAACTTATACACGAAAAGGGGAACAAAAAAATATTAGCTCTGCGATTTGACTTAGTTCCCCGTACGCACTTTCACGTACAGGGTGAATATATATATATAAATATATATACACAGAGCATTCATTTATAATCAAGTGTTAGATCGATGCATATAAAATGTCGTTTCTTTATATTCAAAATTAAGCGATTTGAGAATATTAAAATAAATGATATTTAATTATTCTTTGCTACATATTACACTAAAGACAAAACAGAAACTCATCAAATAAGTTTCAAACTTAACAAAAATATACTTGTAAAAAAGTGAATTGCTTATTAATGCAATCAATGAAATTTCATGCATCACACTTAACAATATTGTTAGTCGATTGAAATACTCATATTTGCTACATCTCATTTCTAATCTTGAATATCTTATAATATACTTTTATTTTCTTGATGTATTTAATTTTTAAATAAATTTATTTTCAATGTAATTACAATTGTTAAAAACTAGATAGAATTTGTTCTGATGATGTAAATATAATTAAACAGAAAACAAACTTATAAAGCTTTAGTTATGAAAACTACGTTTCATATGCAACAATCTAATGGTTATACTACCGGCCATATGATGAGCGTGGACGACAATACTTTTTCAATCTTTGATACTTTGTTCATGAATATTGAGAATGTTGTAACTGTATTTATATACATTATTTCTATGAATCAAGTTACACTTGTCAAAGCTTCTTAAGTGTACAGAATAAATATACGAGAATAATAGTTATTATCTGATTTAACTGCCTTAAGAATATATGAAATTGCATTAATCTGTTAAGTTCTATATATATTAAAAATGTCTGAAGAATTTCCTTAAAACAACTGCAATTTACAAAATAAATGTTTTATTAATTCCAATTTTCTTTATATGTTATTCACAATATGCAACAGGACAAATTTAGTTGAAATAAATAAGAAGACCCCTACACAAATACATTTCTGAAGAAGAGATGGGATAATCCCAAACTTTAATTACGTGTTAAAGATTAATCAAAATATCAAATCTAATATATGGTATCCGGGCAATTCTTGGCCATTGAATTACTTTTATCGAATACTTAGAAGTACTTTAACTGCTTCGAAAAATGTAGAAACGTAATCAGTAAAGTCAGTTTAATGAAAACAATAAATTCAAACCAGATAGTCGTCCCCATGTATATATATGACCAGTAGGTAAATGATCAAGTGTCCAAACCAGGGAGTCAGGTTCGTTCCGTTACATGGTATTAGCATTAGCATGGAATGTGCCGATTAGGAAACACTTCCGCTACAACCGACATCGAGCAATGGTAGGAAATCGACGCAATCTTTTAATGTGCGTACCTTCTTCTAGATCGTGTGTCCTCTACTACTCTATTATCCTTTTTACCTTCGTTGAATTTCGCTTAGAACTTTGAGAATCGGAAAGACATGTAGTTACATCTATTCCATAAGTTTGTATAATTTTATTTGTAACAGAAACACAAATTAAAAGTGTATGTCGCAAAGGAAAATTATATACGCGTATGTTTCTTAAAAGAGTTATAAATTTCCAAGAACCGCCTGCTACTTTCATAGACGTTCCTTTTTCTTATTATAAACCTACCATTACACTTCTGAATAGCATCTTTTTTCAATTAGATCTTAACGACTGCAATAAATAAAAGTATTCCTGGCTGACGGATTCCTAAAACCGCCCAAGACATTCTAAATAGTTCTTCGTACTTCTTCAGTTACGTACATACTATCAAATTGAGCCTGCGAAGTTGCGAGCCTTGAGTTGGAAATGAGCGAATGGGAATGGGAAAGGAAAAGAAGAAAAGAAAAACTCGTCAGCCGTTTGTTTTAACTGGCAGTGGCGGTGGATGACAGCGTAGTTGGTCACGCAAGATTCGTTTCTTGTTCACCCCATCCTTCACTGTCACACTCGCTCTCTGACGCCGAATCGCTATCGCTGAACTCAACGGCAACGCGTCTTGCCAATATGGATGCAACGTCGTTTAACGCATTTACGCGTTCCACTTCCTTTTGCTCGATTTTCTCTACCTTGCGCAATTTTATCCCTGAAAAATGTCGAATACATTTCTTAATTATAATTATAGTGGATTATAGTGGAAAATTTGTATGTATATTAGAATCGTAGAACTTTTTACTATCATAATACCGATGATGTACAACATTTCAATGGTTACTTCGTCACATAAATCATTTTTATTAAATAATCTGTTTAAATAGTTATTTCACTATGTTAATTAATTTAAGTGTAAAAGGGTGTATTGAAAAAACTTTTCCTTCTAAAAAGAAAAAAAATTACAGGGTTAAAGTCAAAGTAAGTAAATGGGAAAGTAATCTTTAAAATGATAAACCACAATATCCAAGAATCAACTGAATCATTCCGCATTGCAACCATGAAATTATTCATTGCGGTATAGTAGTTAAAAGGGACAGGAGACCAGTCAAACGGTAAATTCTGATAAATCGAATTAGGCTATAATTACCGTCTCTAATTGCTTTAAGTAGATCATTTCGTGGATCGACAAGGGGGATGTTCGGATTAACGGGCTTCCTCAATTGCCCATCCACTATATTCTTCACGGGTTTCAACTTCGGCGGATTGGTCGCTATCATTTTAGCAATATCGCCGTTGGTTAGGGGTACCGGTGGCGACGGTCCATTAGTAACTGGTGGCGGTGGTGGCGGTGGAGGCGGGGGTGGGATATTACAGGGTGGAGAGATAGGTCTGGGTGGTGCGGGATCTGGAGTCGGGGGCGGTGGCGGCAAATCTTGTGGCGCCGCTGGATCCGTTTCATCCGTTCCGATTTGCGTTGAATGATTTGGCGGGGTGGGCGTGGAGTGGTGACTGGGTAATGGACTGTTCGAGCGACTTCCATTCCTGTTCAAAAGATGCGACGGTATAGAGCCTGAAACACATGTAAATAAAGCAGGTTAATGTTAAATATCTGGGTTTAGGTTCAACACGTTGACTGTCAAAAAATCTCTTAAAACATTCCATAGGAAACTTTTCACTACATCATAATTTAGAAAACTGTTTCGCTTAAACGACAAGAATGATTATAAAATTGACAAATATCATTAGTAGATCATTGATTTTTGCATTTCCAGAAAAAAGAAGATGGAATGTAGATACAATACATTTTGTTATAAAAATATCTGCACTTATAAGAGCAGTTTATACACATAAATAAAGTAAGAGTAGTCAATGTATTAGATAAATGTGAGTAACTCAACAAGAAATTGAACATTAAAATTATAATACCAGCTTCAATTTTCAAAGATTATTTTGCAATTTTATTTAAGAAATAAATTGTTTAAAATATAGTACAGTTCTGTTTGAATCAGCCTTTATAAAAGGACACATTGCCGTATATTACAGTACCATTCATAGGTGGTGGAGATATAGTTTCACCAGGTGGTGGAGGTGGTGGAGGCAAAGTATCCCTACTGGTACTCATTGACCTTCCCCGCGTTGGCGTATTATTAGCAGAGGCTACTGTAGGGGTTGAATTGCTAGAAGTATTGCTTGGTGGTGCCGGTGGTGGTTGCGAAGGCCGCGATCTACCACTTCTACTTGGCGTGCTTTGACTACTAGGACTTTGATACGTCTCGCTTCCCGCTTGCCCTTGTCCAGGAGCGTAATGTGAACCGTACAGGTTGTCTTCATAACCCTGAGAGACGTAATTCGCTGCCCTGTAATCAAATAAATACCAGTCACTATTATTCTTAATTTTTCTATATAAGACATAATTAATAGTTTTTTATTTATAATTAAATACATTTAAAAACCATTAGAAATCATGGTAACATTCATATTTCAATAAAACAAAACAAAATAATTATTACGTTGTACACCCCTTCTTAACACCATACAACTTTTACTGAAAATATTTTTTCATGTAACAAACAATTTATAAGTTATTTAAGATAACCAAATTTACACATCCTGCAGAATATAATCCAAATCATTTATTTATAGATTATTATTTATTCTTACATTTACATTTAGACTATACTATGTCATATTGTACAAACCTATAGTGATCGGAAGATGGAGGACTGTAGAGATGTTGCTCTTCGGGCGGATAACTTCGTCTCAGCTCGATGCTGTTAGGCCTGGGCGGCCGCTGTTCAGTCATCACCATCCCCAGCAACGATTCGTCGGGTATATTATGGGGTGTCCTGTACTGTACACCTTGCGTTGGCATAATGTACTCCCCATGTCCGACAGCCAACTGTCTTTGCCTTTCTCTCGTATTATGCGGTTGCCTTATACGCTTCTTATGTCTGCCGCCACCTCCGCCGCCACCCTCGTTCCGAGGCCTATGCGGCTGTGACGCAAAAAGATCCTTTGTTAAAACGGTCGCCTCGATCGATTGTTGTGGCAAAAGTGCAAGACAAGCTTAATTTCATCAGTCAAGCATGACTCAATGGCTGATCCAATACGTTTTGATTAGAAAAGTTCATATATTGAAGAATTTTTTATTAACTTAGTAGTTGCCACTGTTGAAGATTTTGGATCATATATTTTTAGAAGTTTTTAATAATATATTCCAATGTTTTGTTGAAAATGACACTACCGTCGTAATAATTACGGTTTCATAACTACAATGCTAGTATAAAAGCTATTTTAAATTTTAACAAAGTTATCCGTTATTTTATTTAATAGGCTATGGATTTTATGTATTCATGAATTCAACGAATAACTTTGTTAAAATTTAAAATAGCTTTTATACTAACATTGTATTTATGAAATCTATAAAGGGAGACAGGAGTTTTTAACTATTTTTTACAAACTAGTTCATAGACGTCATAGTTTATAGACGAATAGTTTTTCTAAGTTCTCATTTTATAGCTTCAACACTGACAACTGTAGATGCATATTTCCCTTTCGTTGCTTCGAATGGGCGCTAAATCTTATATTACTCATCGACTTGAGAGTTTTACTGTTTAACGAAAGCAAACCTAGTAGTCATTCTTCGGCAGGCATCACTGATGCTCCCGACAGTAAATGTCGCAGAAATTTACTTTCAAGTGGACGCAGATGTTTGAGCCATCCTGTAGTGGGCACACATGGCATTAAGCTAAGAAAAATACCGTTTTTCATTCTATGCATATTTTGCGTGATTATTTCTGTTGCAAGAACACCATGTATATTGCACGTTTATTTCTGTTCTAAAACACAATATATAATTGTTCAAATTAGAGACTGCAATAAATTTATATATTTTTTGTTTACCATTTATTGCGGTAAAAAATAATTTTTTATTTTAACTAAGCGTAATGTAGTAATGTTGATTCTTTAAAGTATATATAAATTGATAATGTGCGATTAAATTTTTTCTCCTAAAATTCGTAATTTCAATTAAAATTAATTTTAAACCGATAAATACAAATGCGGTTTCATGTAACGAGATCACTCGTATTATTTATTTTTCGTAATAACGTGAACTGATAGATATAAGATAGCAGTGTCCATGGTAAACAGATAATACGTCGTTTTCATGATGTATAGAAATGACCAATAATGCAAACGCATTATTGAATAAAATATTATATATCTAACACGAATTCCTTAAATTTTATCATGTAAAAAATTCGCCTACATATAGTATAAGAAAATATGAAAAAAAAGAAAATTTTTGTTTGTCTGAAACAAATTGCACTTTTAAAAATGTGTATTTAAAAAAGATATTGATTTATGGAATTTATAATAATTCTCACATATACAATTTCCTATTCTCATCTCAGCAACGATAGAAAAAATTCCTCATTAATTTTTATATAATGATTAACTTCAAAATTTAGTCTAAATTACGATCAACCACCGAACATGAATGTTTGTAGGAAATAAAAACAATTCTTCGAAACATTATTCAACAACAATATTAACATAATAAATTCTCATACAAAAGGAATGATAAAAAAAATATTTACGACCGGGTCGCTGCAGTTTTATTTCCTACGTATGAAATACAACAAATCAGAAACGAAATAATAATCCTGAAATGAATCAAGATCATGGTGTTTTGTATCGATTGCAAAAGATGACTCGTGAGAATGATGATGAGAAACTTCTATTGAGTACATCCAAGAGTTGCAATGAATGGCACAGAACGGCATTACAGGTGACATCGATAATGTGATATGGTATAAGACAAAACTATTCGAGTTCGAAAACAACTCGTTTATAAGAAGGATTCGAGACAAGGGTGCTTCTGTGTAGATTGAACAATGTATTTAATTTGTATTAATAAAAACGTGATAATACCCAAAAGCTAAGAGAAGAATCTGCTTTTTTAAAAGTAAAATCACCGACAACAGTTTCTTTGATACTATTTAATCAACAGTTTTTTTGGACCGTCTCGCAATAAAACAAAAGAAACAAAAATTCATACAGTGTATAGTATATTTAACACAGTATAGATAATTAAATAATTTTGAAATAACTTAAAAACTGAAGAAAATGGTGTAATATTCATTAATATATGTAATAATAGTGTCCCTTTACATGTTCATAATTTGGAATTAACGACGAGCATCAAGAGAAGCAGGGCACCTAATAATGTTACTTTTCCAAAAATCCTTCCCTAGAATAATTCAAATTTATAATAAAATGCCTTATGTTGTTTGTAGATCTAAATATCACCTAAAATCTATTATTTCTATTAATAAGTTATAATTAAATAACAATGGTAGGATTAAATTTCTGTGTTTCATATTTTATTAAAATAATAATGAAAACTGAGTAATTCAATTTAATATAATGTATGCAATTAATTCATGGAAAAAGGTTACTTTTGTCTAATAAATCTGTTACCTAATGAGAGGAAATATCAACGATGAACGCTTGCCAATTACATAATAGTATGATCATGACCACTGCTCTCTATAGACTCATTACCGGTGCCGAACACTGTACTTATAGAGAGGGAATATTGTACACCTACAAAATTCTATATCCATGAACGCATTGTCGGTGAAATCATCGTAAATGACGTGAATACGAACGAACGAACGAACGAACGAACGTTCGATCTACACAACGAAACTCTTTGCCAAGGACGAACATTGGAAGAATGCGATATCGTTGGCTAAAATCCTAGCGAGTAACTACAAAAATTGTCAAGCGAGCATCTAGCGCAATCTCTCTATCTCAGCGCAAAAAGGTTCGGTTAATGAAAAACCACAAAGAAGTGAGCTTGATTATGTATGAGTGAGTGGCTGGCGATCGATAAATCCATTAAAAACTGGGTGGTAAGGGTAAGAAAAAAACTACAAAGATCCAAACTATCGACTTGCCTCTCTGAACGGTTCGGCATATTCAGACTCGGTCTATAATCAAGGGGACAGTTTCAATTGTTAGAATTTGTAGCACAAGCTTAGTAGTATTTAAGAGAAAAAAAGAATTAAAAAAAATAGAATAATAATATTCATCGTATCGTGATACTGTGCACCTCGAGACATGTTAGTGTAGTAAGAATATTTACGGGAAAAAAAAGTATGAAAATAGTTTGTACAATTGTATCGTATACGTATATTATAGAAGAGTTAAATCGAGGTGCACGTTCAGAGACGAGGAAGAAATGGTGGCGCGTACCTTTTTTCCCCGATCGTGCAGTTTCTTTTCGGTGTCCTTGAGCATTTCCTGACTCCACAAGTCGAAGAAGTAGTTTGGATCCGTGTAGAACTTCAGACCGTCTTTGCCATCCTCCCTGGAAATCGTATTTCACATGTTATGCACGATCTGCGTTATTTAATGCGATTAAGGAAAAAGATATGCAAGTCACTACAGCAAACAGAACACGAATAAAACAATTTTTTGACAGTAAACCGATCTGATGTTACAAATATTTTCCTTGTTCCAATTGGATAGACAACTTTTGTTATTTAAAATTATTTAAAAGTGTTACTCAAAATTTTACTAGAAAACTTTAGGAAAATATTTCTTTAGTATTCATGAGATCAGTTGAAGATCAGATCATTACAAAATTCACTAAGTTTATTCTTCAGTTTAAAAAATTTGACTGAATATTATTAAAATAATTCTGTCGTTAAAGATATGGTCGACAATTTCTCAACGGGTAGATAAATACCTGTAAACATTAAGTTTATCAAGAGGTGGCGGTGTGTCACATTGATGGTAGGTCTCCAACATCGCCGTAGGCATCGTGTCTCTCGAGACAACTTGCTGGTCGAATACCACGGAGCTCTTGAACGCCTTCCTCATATGTATGTCTTGTAGAGACACTGAAAACCATGAAATTGAATTATAAATTACAGGAAACCAGTTTCAATTTATTCGCTTATGATACTAATCAATCACTATACCATGGATATTTATGCAAATACGTGTTACTACACTCGAATTTAGAAAGACCGAAACAAAATAGGACTTTGTTTTTTATAGATACAATTTCAATTTATCATACGCAGTTCCATAGTTTAATAAATATAGATATTTTTCTTTTAATATCAATTTAAAATAAAATATACATTTACAATAAATAAACCATGTCTCCTTCTACTGCAGAAATTAATGAATAAGTTATAACCCAAAGGATTAAGAATAAAATTTAATTTTATGAAATTCTATTAAAGCTTCTATTATTCTTTGGGATCATTCTAAAAATCAATTACAACAACTGTGACTCTTCGTTTGTAAGGCGAACTATACCCGGCAGAACATTTTCAGTATTCTGGTTATATAAAATGAAAATAATTAAAATATAAAACTATAGATGAAGTCATAAACTTCATTTGTACATAAAATTAACACTAACCGTACTGCGAACCGGTCAAACGATCGATTTTAAAGTTTGATTAAAAATTCTGCGTTTTCTCTTTCGTTCATTTAATACCTTCATATCAATACCTATATTGTCCGATTAATCAATTTTTCAATTTTAGTGTTTCCCTTTGTCGCCATTTCCACTAAGAAAAATTTATCATCTAACTTGTTTACCTCTTTTTGGAGCCAGTTGCTTGACTGGTTACGATAGAAATAAGTATATATAAAGCGCTGACTCGTTCAGTGTTAATACGACCGCAAAGGGATAACTGATAACTGTAAATTTATTCAACGAACCTTCTTCCACGTTGCTGTCCAATTGAGTAACCTTTACAGCTAGCCGGTCTATTCTAGCTTGCAACGAGTTAGCTCTATCGCTTAATCCATGAGCCTCCCTCGCAAGCTCACCGAACAAATCTTCAGCGTGCCTGGAGAGACTGGACAGTTGCCTAATGGTATTGGCCAAGGTGCCATTGGTTACAGCCTCTAATTCCGATGGTAGCGGAAAGTTGTCGGGTATGGTACCGCGTGCGACTAGCACCGGTTCTACCAAGCGCTTCGGGAGCGGCATCTTCTGATTCGAAGTTTCCTAGATTTCTTGGGTAGATATTATCACTTACCACTCTTTTGAGACCTGGAACAGTAAATTTACAATACTCTTTTAGTCTTCGTAAACCAACTTATCAAAATCTGATGTTTTATAAATCTCTGTATCTTTAACTCTGGAACCAAGCTAAATTTTCATTTACCCCTAAAACTAACAATTTTCATCTCTTAAATTCAATTTTTATGGGAAACATTAAATCAGTTTTTAGATACTGTTTTGTTCAGCAGAAACTCAACTTTCGATAAATATACTAAAGTAATCTGCCACAATTTTCAGCGAAAATTAATTTATTCTTATATAAAGAAAGTTGATGTGTTTTTTACTAAGCAAAAAATCTCTTAATTTACATAAAATCAAGTTAAGCAGTTTCTCTGTATCAATTTATGCTTCTTCATTTAGAACGTCTAATTAAGTTTTTTTTTAAATTGTAAAGGAGTAAAAGAATTTTAATGACCCACAGTGTTCAGTCTACCAGTCTCTGTAGCAATTATCGAGGGATTATCGATACACTGTGTGTACTGATGGAACGTGACAACTTCGCAACGTTCAGTACGATCGCACACATGGGAAAATAATTTGCAACGGAGTAGACGGATGAGTGCAAAGACGACACTCGACGTTCTTTGTGAAAACACGTCGGCCACATCGAGGCTGTTAACGGGATGAATATTCGATCTGACGGGAGATGATCCTTTTAATCCACGTGCATACAATTCAAACGGCTATCTTTTCATTTTGCGGTGTACGAATGGACATTCTGCAGATTAATTTTGTAGCTTTCTGAACGATTCAAGTGAAACACTTGTTACGATTCCGAGTCATAGATACTTCGCCCGTAATTGATTTAAAAATATTGTCCAAGTTGAGAAAGAAAATTGATTTCAAACAAGGTGGATACATTCGAAGTAAAAGTTCATTGTGCACAGCAATTTTCACATTCATTTATTAAGATTCATTAATTATTATAAATACTAATAATAATTCAGTTAGTATCGAGTTGGTATTAATTAAGGATGTGTTTAGTATTGATTTGTTATTTATTTTTATTCAGGTTTGATTAGCTTAGAAACGGATTTGAAATTTTACTTTTCACTAATTTTCACATGTGTATAAATGTTTGCTTTTCCTTTTGGTAATTGTAAAGGAATTTCAGCTCGTCAGGAGTGACGAAACGGAACATTTATCAGGCTGGATGAGCAATTGTCACTACAGGAAGTCGCAACAACTTCTGCTAACGACAATCTATATTTTACTTTACCATCACGAACACCGTGAATTTATTTCATATAAACGTACTGTTCAACCATGCCACTGTTATTGACGAACAAAATATTTCTCAATTATTTTATTTTATCAATTATTTGAAGAACATTTTGTACACAAAAAAATGTTTGTTATACATTATTGCACAAAACATAAAATGACTAAGACATTTATTCATACACATTTTGGTATAATTTCATATATTTATAAATTCTTTGCAAACCTTTAAAGGTAATTTATTATTTAATTCACTTATAAATTCTTATGAATATGATTTATATTTATTAGAAGAAATTTATTTGACAATTTACATTTCATAACTCCACCAGTGACATTTAATTATTCCACCGAGACTAATTCATTTTACAAGCTCTGGCGTTACGTGTTTTCACAGTATACAAGCTAAAATAAATATGATGTCCACAATGCTAATTGCATAACCACACAGTGTGAAGGATGGAACATGCGGATCTTATCAGTATTTTGTCAACCGCAGAAAATTGAGAACATAGACTGTTCTTCTACGTATTACCTTGTATAACAAATTCTAAAACAAGGTTCGTACAATTATTTTATATTCCAGTTGTAAATTTACATTTTAATTTTATAATTTCTCTGCAACTCCAGTATCATTTCTATATTTCACATTTTAATTAATTATGTAAAACCGCTAGAAGTAATATTTAAATTCTTCGAATTTTTCAATGAGCATATTTATTCATACAAAGATAACTGATCTATATTAAATTACGTTAAACTACTAATTTAAAAATTTCACGAATTTATAAAACACGCAAATGCATATTTGTAACGCCACAGACAGAAAACTTTCAATTACCCAAATCCATATTTCTAATCGGAACTCAGTATATCCCATAAATAAACACGTTAAACCCCAACTTTAACCGTAATAGATTTGAGATCACGAGCAAAAATAACTGCTATGAAGTAATTAGAATGTAGCTCACCACAGATCTTTTTAAACACAAATTGGTGTTTAAAATATTTCTTTAATGTGAAGATTTAAAATCACATCAACAGCCAGGTCATTTGCGACTAAGACTGCTGCAGATAATATTCAAATTTTGAAAAAAGGTAGTACAGCATGATGGAATCTATACTATAATATTTTCTTTGTCATTTAAATTTAGTGTACCCACATAGAACATGTTGAGCTGTAATTGGCCTTTGAAATCTATTGCAAAAAGGGAGGCTCAGCTTTCTTAATCAAACAGTCATGAATTATTTAATCATACCCTATTCATTCGATAGACTGCAGAGAAAAGTGAATAAAACAGAATTTCAATCACACAGACCAACAAATTAAACAAATTGCTCCTTAATTTTCGTTTTCCTAAAATAATTAGTGAGGACCACTCTACATATATTCGCAGCCTTCTTACAATAAAATCAATTTTCTACAAATTCTAATCTTTGTGCAATAGCGTGTGAAATCGAGAGAGTTTCATATATAGATTCAAGATTAATTTATGATCGTGAGGTGGAACGGAGAGAGAAGAAACCAGCGTTCGCAGTAACATGTGATCGTTCGTGCCCGCATCGCGACCGAGCAGTATTTTTCTAACTGGCATCAAGACGCGCCGGTTTCGTCGATATAGTATACCTTTCAATCTAGAGAACGAATTCTAACGAGTGCAATGACTGCGGCCTCGCCTTGACTCCTTTCCTTTCCTTACGTGTTTCCCCACCCCGTTTGCGATCCCATTGGCCCCGATTAACTTGCCCCGGTTGTTGCCTCTTATCGTTCACCGCAGCTCTCTTCAGGGTCAATACGCGACGATAATTAGCTGCTTAGGATTGGTCGCGCGTGAAACGGTTGCTACCCCTGCGTGTAACGAGACCCTGGCACGCGGTATACGGTGAGAAAGTTCTTTTTTTCTTCTTTTTCCTTTTTAAATTGGAGAGTTTAGAGTCGCTTTAACCGCCAACATTATTATTAGATCGTGTAATGTCAAATGTCGGATTTTGCGGACAAAATGAAACCTTATTTGATGTTCTAAAAGACGTTTATTCAATGAAAATATGCTCTATTCGATTCGATACTCTTCTGCTAACGTACTTTTAATGAATATATTCCTTTTTTGGGAAATTCTGAATGTTTAGAATGAATAAATTTTAAAGACATCGTTATAAACTACTATTTTGAATTTAAGCAACTTATTTTGCGAAGAATCACCGAAACGAAATTCTGCACTAATACTTCATTCGCACTGTTGTTCTCAAATACTTTGTTTATATTTTCAGCAGTTTTTGCAGCATTATTCCCAAGTTTTAATTCATATAAGAAAGTTACACGAATGTTGACGGTATCCATATTTTGAAAAAATGATGGAAAAGTAGTTATTATACACAATTCGGAAAAATTTTTTTGTATAGAGTTACTTTGTATAAACGATAATGAAACTGTTTAAAAGATTGCTTGAAAAACAAAGGAATAACAACAGGAGTACAAACATTTGTGAGTAAAAAAAATTGTACATTCTATATTACACGACTTAATAGTAATCACAGAAATTATAATGTACAGTTTAGTATATAGAAAGTTCAGGATAGTTTGATGGTAGAGAGAGATCAGCGAATATTCATATTTTAAAATAAATGAAAGCATGAGAGAACTCTGTATTTTATTACATAAAACAAATGAATGTACTTAATTTTAGTAAGCACGGAAGTTTATGAAAGCGTGGTCGAATGTTCCGGACTTGCCCTAATATTTAAGAAATGGACGTGGAAATTCGCGATAGAACTATTAAATTAAAACATTTAAAAAAATTAACTTATAATATAATAACATGTTAAAGTTATAATTACGTTACGGTCTAAAGAATTCTTCAAGGACAATAGTGACATAAATAAAATTACTATAGTTCAGAATAAACTTCCAGAATAATTGGATTGAAGAACCTTCTCTGTAAAGTATTAACAATAAAATTTAATTCACAAGAAACTTAAAGTATATTCACTTAATTAGTTTGATTTAACACGAATTAAAAAAAGGAATTACTTCCTTTCTATATGATATGGTTTGCTTGAATACAATCACCTAAATTCTAATATACACTTTCATATGGACTATTATATTATTTCACTGATTTCTGAAGTCTACAAACAATCTCTATTTTTCTGTAGATACAGTACGTTCATTTACACAAAATTTGTACACGGAATGTATCGATCGTGTAAAGACAGAATTTGGTGGAGATATCTGTTTGAATACACGTGAAATTGGCTAGCGAAATCGATAAACGGACAAAGGAGGGGTCTACCCGAGCCGCCGTTTGAAATATCTGACAGGGTCAATGATACGACCATGACCAGACGTCAGCAGCATCGTCGTCGACCACGACGACGAGGACGATGTCTGTGCCGGCGAATGTACCGCTACCATGCCACCGACTTCTAATTAGCGATTAGTAAACAAGTCGGCCGACTTATCCTCCTTTAGCGGATGTTGCATCTGCAAATCTAATCTTTTTTCATTAATAATGATCTGCATTACAGAGTATTTTATAATACATGGTTCAAGGAATGAACTGATTCTACATGAGAAAATAACTCGGAAACGTATAAAGAATCAAATTTGATACTTTTTTCCGAAAATAGAAAATTCGCTTGACAAATAAAATTGAAAATATGTTCATGTTTGAAACTTTGCACCATTAGATAAAAATCAGCTAACGTGTCTGCTCGTAGCTTACAGTTTCCACTTTCTTAGAATGCTAATGCGGGCGTGTCAAGGTTTC